TGCGCAGCCCTACTTTCCACACTTTATTAACTTGTAACGTTTGGGCTGAGCGATATGACAAAAATCTAATATCAAGATGTAAGTCGGCACATATTCAAATAGCAATATATAATATGATATAGTACAATTTCTGTAAATATAATTAATTATAAGTATATATGACCACATATAAACAAAATCCCAAATCACGTTTTAAGTCGTCTCATTTTCCGATAACGATATAAGTCATGATGATATAGTACCTTTTCTCTAAATTCATTCATTCATTCATTTTATTGTCATCTTAGTCCCTTTATTAAACCGGGGTCGCCACAGTGGAATGAACCGCCAACTTATCAAGCACATTTTTACGCAGAGGATGCCCTTCCAGCAGCAACCCATCTCTGGGAAACATCCACACACACACATTCACTCACACACTCATACTCTACGGACAATTTACCCTACCCAATTTACCTGTACCGCATGTCTTTGGACTGTGGGGGAAACCGGAGCACCCTGGGGAAACCTACGCGAATGCAGGGAGAACATGCAGACTCCACACAGAAACGCCAACTGAGCCGATGATCAGAGGATCAAGGACAGCACTACCTATTGCGCCACTGCATCGCCGTCTGTAAATTCAGTCAATTAGAAGTTTATATGACCACATATAAACAAAATCTCAAATCACGATATAAATCGTCTCATATTCCGATAACGGTATATATCATGATATAGAACCATTCATTCATTTTCTTTTTGGCTTATGCTGTGTTCGCACTGGACGCGGAAGAAGCGTCAAGCGCGAGTGATTTACATGTTAAGTCAATGCAAACGCGCGAATAGACGTCCTGCGGTGTGATACGTGTGAATGGCGCATCACAAATGATTTGCGCAAATATCGTGACGCGATATGCGTGGCGCGAATTGAGCGTTTTGCACGTTTGATGCGCTTAATGCGTGTTTAGCGCAAATCACTTGAGTTCAAAAATCAGAACTTAAGTAGACATTAGCGCCGCGTTAACCAATCAGGAGCTTGCTCTTGTGGGGGCGGAGATTGTGATGTAGCGGCTGTTGTTGGTGTCCCGGGGGAAATCCTCCAGCCAAAACCGACAACAGTTCATCGAACTGGGCTCGGCTCAGTCAGAAGCCTCCATCATTTAGGTTGTTTCTGGAGTTTATGAGTTCACAGAGCTGGATGCACCTCTGAAAGGATCTAGTGGACTCAGACACAACCCTAAATGTATCAACGCTGTTTTTCAGCCTTCATCAAGCACATAAACACTGTTATTTTCTCAATAAAATCCATGTTAGCTATTTAGCAACGAAGCTACACCGGGCAGACAGAAGCCCTGCCCATCACGCAAATCCGCATCTGTTCTGAAGCGGATTTGACACGCGAATGAAACGAGTTAACTCAAATGTTTACGCGGCTATATACGCGCGAATATCTCAATTTATTAGCTCGTTCTGCATCTGGTGTGAAAACAGCATTAGTCCCTTTATTAATCAGTGGTCGCCACAGCGGAATGAACCGCCAACTTATCCAGCATATGTTTTATGCAGCGGCTGCCCTTCCATCTGCAACCCAGTACTGTGAAACACCCATGCACACTCATTCACACACAAACTTATACACTATGGCCAAATTCACTCATTCATTTTCTTTTCTGCTTAGTCCCTTTATTAATCAGGGGTCGCCACAGCGGAATGAACCGCCAACTTATCCAGGATATGTTTTACGCAGCGGCTGCTTTTCCAGCTGCAACCCAGTACTGGGAAACACCCATACACACTCAATCACACATACACTTATACACTACGGCCAATTTTATTCATTCATTTTTTTTTCTGCTTAGTCCCTTAAATAATCAGGGATCGCCACAGCGGAATGAACCGCCAACTTATCCAGCATAAGTTTTACACAGCGGACGCCCTTTCAGCTGCAACTCAGTACTGGGAAACACCATACACTCTCATTTACACACATACACAACAGACAATTTAGCTTACCCATTTCAACTACAGCGCATGTTTTTGAACGTGTCTGGGAAACCGGAGCATCCGGAGAAAACCCACGCCAACATGGGGAGAACATGCAAACTCCATACAAAAATGCCAACTGGTCCAGCTGAGACTTGAACCAGCGACTGAGCCCCCCCCCCCACCTCAACTAAATGTTATATATTTAAAATTTCCTCTTGGATTTTCCTGTTTATTAAAATTATATGTAATATTTTTCCCATACATATTAATTTCGATGTACTCGTTTTTGGACTGTAATCTTAAGTTTTTTGATCACTCTTTATTTTGTAGGTTCATTTGCTGAATTTAAGTTACGTTGCATCTACATGCCAACTAATTCTCTACGGCCAATTTAGCTTACCCAATTCAACTATAGCGCATGTGTTTGGACTTGTGGTGGAAACCGGAGCACTCTGAGGAAACCCACGCGAACGCGGAGAACATGCAAACTCCATGCACTCAGCTGAGGCTCGAACCAGCGACCTTCTTGCTGTGAGGTGACAGCACTACCTACTGCGCCACTGCATCACCCTATTTATTTATTTAATAATTAAAGACTAAACTAATTCATTAGATTATAAGCAGACTGTAAGGGTTGGGGTTAGGGTTAGTGTAAGCTGACATGCACTTGCAAGGTTTCTTATAGTCAGTTTAATGTCTGTTGAAGGAGCAGCATCAGCAGATATTAAGCAGAGAGTCCAATAATACTCAAATGGACCATCAAAATAAAGTGTTACCAGTTGTTTTATTAGATTAGTTCCAGTTTTGTCTTTGGTACTGACTAATCTAATGTATATGTGCAAATATAATATTGTAATCAGCCTATAAAAATATTCTAAACTCATTCAGACTGTATATTTTAATATTGCACAGTCGTACATATTGTTAGTATATTCTGTATCTATGAGCTTGATATCAAGTGTGAAACATACATGGCAGTGTGTGTAAATGCGTCATTGGCATGAGTGTTTATTTGGCACGCATGCTTTCATTCTGTTATGTTGAGCGTCTCAACAGACCTTCATTCAAGGGTAAAGCTTGTGTGTGTGTGTGTGTGTGCTAGACAGGAGTGTTTCATGCTCACAAGCACATAAAATAGTTGTCATATAATGTTGAGTAATGAATCCACATCAGCAACTGAATCTCTCTGCCCTTCATGCATGTGTGGGTATGTAAATAAACTGGACTGCCTTGTGTTTGCTCGGTGTTTTGGTACCCTGATTCCTATTCAGAGCTCGGTGTGGACACTGTAAACCGACCGTTTGAAGTTAGGAGTGTGTGTATATGTGTGTGTGTGTGTGTGTGTGTGTGTGTAAGAGAATTCTAGAAATGCCACTTTTCTCAGCTGACAACACTGACGGCTTTGACCTCTTGGTGTCTTTCTGACTTTGAACCATGATATAGTGAGCTGACCATCTAGGTGCCCTTAAAAGGTGTCATGATGCTTCATAACATGTAGAGAAGACGATGCCAAAACAAATACAGTGTTGCAATAAGAAAACAATGTTGGGGAAGGTACTCTAACACAGTCTTTAGTTATTAAAGAAATAAATAGGGCGATGCAGTGGCGCAGTAGGTAGCCTAAGGTCGAAGTAGGTAGAAGAAGGTCGCTGGTTCGAGCCTCGGCTGAGTGCGTGGAGTTTGCATGTTCTCCGTGTTCGCGTGGGTTTCCTTAGAGTGCTCCGGTTTCCCACACAAGTCAATTGAATTGGGTAAGCTAAATTGGCCGTAGTGTATGTGTGTGAATGAGTGTGTTTGTTTCCCACTGATGGGTTGCAGCTGGAAGGGTATCCGCTGCGTAAAACTTATGCTGGATAAGTTGGTGGTTCATTCCGCTGTGGCAACCCCAGATTAATAAAGGGACTAAGCAGAAAAGAAAAAAAAATAAGGAATGAATAAATAAATAAATAAAACTATCCAATAAACAAATGAATAAATAAATAAATGAATCTATCTAATAAACAAACAAATAAATGAATGAATAAATAAATAAAACTATCTAATAAACAAACAAATAAATGAACGAACAAATAAATAAACTATCTAATAACAAACAAATAAATTAATAAATAAATAAATAAAACTATCTAATAAACAAACAAAATGAATAAATAAATAAATAAAACTATCTAATAAACAAACAAATAAATGAATAAATAAATAAATAAATAAAACTATCTAATAACAAACAAATAAATGAATAAATAAATAAATAAAACTATCTAATAAACAAACAAATAAATGAATGAATAAATAAATAAAACTATCTAATAAACAAACAAATAAATAAATAAATAAACAAAACTATCTAATTAACAAACAAATAAATGAATAAATAAAACTATCTAATAAACAAACAAAAGGAATAAATAAATAAATAAAACTATCTAATAAACAAACAAATAAATAAATGAATAAATAAATAAATAAAACTATCTAAAAACAAACAAATGAATAAATAAAGAAATAAAACTATCTAATAAACAAACAAATAAATGAATAAATAAATTAAAAAAAACATCCTTATTGAATGTCAAACCAACTGAAAAACTTAAAACACTTTATAATAATAGAACTATTCAGACATTTTACTTCTGTTTGTTTATTTATTTATTTATTTATTTATTTTTAATGCACTGTCAGCAGCAAGCCTGCCTTCATGATGAAAACTAAATGCAACATAGGCTCATTCTGAAAACGTAGCCCATGAATCACGCAGCCAGAGGTACGTATGGTTGCGTTTCATCTCTAAAACAAACGCTATGGGGCGGTGTAACGCCGTTCGTCTTCATGCTTACCAGCTGACCACTTACCTCTGTGTGGACAGCTTTTCCGCTGCTACCAGTTTGTCCAGTAGCTTGCCTTGTATATCGGCGGACTTGAGACGCAGAGGGTTCGAGTCTGCCGAAGAATGGTTTCAGAAATCAGGTAAGACAAAAACAGAAGGCAAAAAATATAATAAACAAGTAAATGACAGGGTGAGAATGTTGGAAAATCTGAAAATGTGGTAAAAATCAGGCAAGGGCATTTCTTTTTCTGGATTGCTTTTGAAAACACTGTCGGTTGGGTTTAGGGAAGGTGTTGGGTGGGCTCTGGTTAATCAGTGCTTTTGAAAACAATATTGGTTGGGTTTGGGAAAAGAGGAGGGTGGGTCAGTAGATTGGTCAGTCAGTCAGGCAGTCTGTCAACAACGAAAATCACAACAACTAATAAATATTAGGGTGAGAATGTGGTAAAAATCTAAAAATGTGATATAAAAATCAGGCGAGGGCTTTTCTTTTTCTGGACTGCTTTTGAAAACACTGTCAGTTGGTTTTAGGGAAGTGGGTGGGCGCTGGTCAATTGGTGCTTTTGGAAACACTATTAGTTGGGTTTAGGGAAGGAGGAGGGTGGGTCAGTCGATTGGTCAGTCAGTCTGTCAGTCGACAGCGGCCTCTGGTGGATTTACGGAAGAACAGCAGGTGCTAATGGCACTTGTGAGAGAAATTTGAGATCTGAAAAAGCATACACAGCGCCCTCTGCTGGATTCAAGTAAACAAAACTTGCAATTGCCTTCTTAAACATATTTGGCGCTCTCCAGAAATGGGTATATAATCAGAATAAAACTGGGTTGGAATATTCTGATATTATATTATTTAATTATTTGTTTCTTTTTATTTATTTATTCATGATGATTTTTAATTCAAAGTCAGCAGAAAGCCTGTCTTTATGGTGAAAATGAATAACCAAAGTCATACATTTCAGAATAAGATACTGTATATTGGACATTAAAGATTCATATAAGGTAATAAAATTCATTCAGGAGATACTTTTTTAAAAATCAGTTAAACATTTCCTTAAATAAAAACATGGTCAATTTGCATTACAAACAGTGCTGTTCAGAAAACTTTATTGGTGTTTGACAAGTGGGCGAGCTGTTTTTTTTTTTTTTTTTTTTTTTTTTTTACTAATTAATAAATAACCCTCTTGAGCCCTGTTAAAATCTGTATTTAAAATCTGTATTTATTGGCCAGATCACAAGTGAGCGATGTGACACACAGGGGTGAACTGTGGCTGAAACCTTTTTAAATTTGTCCACTTTAGACCATCTCCAGAGGCAGCTTAAAAAACACGTCTGCTGTCTAGACGATCATGTGGTTAAGAGCATTCAGACGGCCACTAAACACCACCTACTCTCTCTACACATAGTGGACCATTTCTTAAATGATACAAGATGTGTTGTTGAAGTGCACTAGCCAGACTGGGGTTTAAATTTAGTTTTGTGATGTTGTAAGTTATGTTTAATTGCAAAATATGTTGAACAAATATATTAAAAAACTTAGGAATGGCATTGATTTGCCACTTTCAGAACAGAAACCTAATTTGGTTTTTGTTGTCTCCTTTTGTCAAAGATCTGCTTATTTCACCGTTTTAGATTAAAAAAATCACTCGTTGCGTGGCAAAAGTGTGTGAATATAACAACCCAGGCTCATTCTGAAAATGTAGTCTGGCGGACGTTTCTAGAGCCCACGAACTACGTCCCGGAAGGTACGTATTTGTGCAGTTTTTGTTTTCGCAAATCCGCGAGAGGCCGCTGTGTGCGCTTTTTCGCATGTCGAATGAGTGCCGTTATCGCGTAAACACACAAGAGGCTGCTGTGGAACCACTGTACGTCCGACTGGTTGAATGATTGACTGGGCAACTGGTTAATCGGCCGACCCTCCCTCCTCCTTCTTCCCTAAACCCAAGCAGTTTTACTGATTGACCCGCCTGCCCGCTTACTTCCCTAAATCCAACCAACAATTTACAAGAAAAAGCCGTCCAGAAAAAGAAAAGCCCTCGTCTGATTTTTACCACGATTTCGAAATTTACCACACTCTTAGCCTGTTATTCGCTTGTTCACCTTATTTTTTGGATTCTGTTTTTGTCTTACCTGATTTCTGGAACCGCTCTTCCCCGGACACGAACCCGGTCATCTTTGACATGGTCAGCTCCTCTCTGCATCTTAAGTCCACCGACGTACATGACGAGCTAACTGGACAAACTGGTTGTGGCGGGAAAGCCCTCCACATGAAGTTAAGCGGTCAGCCGGCAAGCGTGGAAGGGAACCGCGTCACACCACCCCGTTGCGTTCGCTTAAAAAAATTAAATGCAGCCACACGTTCCCCCGGCTACACAATTCACGGTCTCCAGAAACGTCCGCAGGACTATGTTTTCAGAATGAGCCTGGGTTAGAATATAACCAGCCATGAATGATTTTTTTATAATCACACTTGATAAAACAGTCTGTAGAAGCACTTTGATTGACATTCTCCCTTTGTACATGTCATCAGAGGGGGAAAGCTCTGCCCTCTAGTGACCAGTGATGGGAATAACGGCACTATAAATATAAACGGCATTACTAACGGCGTTACTTTTTTCAATAACGAGTAATCTTCTTTTCGAGTTCTTCCGTTACAATGTCATTACTGTTACTGTCAAAAAAATGCACATTGCTGTAATTAAGAACACTGAAGCGGTTTCTGGAAAAGGGTGGTTTGAGGAGTTCAAGTATCTTGGGGTTTTGTTCACGAGTGAGGGAAGGATGGAACGTGAGACAGACAGGTGGATTGGTGCAGCAGCAGCAGTAATGCGGTCGATGTATGTGGTAAAGAAGCAGCTGAGCCGAAAGCCAAAGCTTTCGATTTACCAGTTAATCTAAGTTCCTACTCTCGCCGATGGTCAAGAGCTTTGGGTCATGACTGAAAGGACAAGATCTTACAAGCAGCCGAAATGAGTTTCCTTCGAAGGGTGGCAGGGCGCACTCTTCTGGATAGGGTGAGGAGCTCTGTCACCCGAGATGAGCTCGGAGTAGAGCCATTGCTTCTCCACATGGAGAGAAGTCAGCTGAGGTGGCTCGGGCATCTGTTTCAGATGCCTCTTGGACGCCTACCTAGGGAGGTATTCCAGGCATGTCCTACCATGAGGAGGCCTTGGGTAAGACCCAGGACACGCTGGAGAGATGCTGGATGTCACTCGGCTAGCCTGGGAATGCATCGGGATCCCCCCGGAGGAGCTGGTGGAAGTGTCTGTGGAGAGGGAAGTCTGGGGTTCTCTCCTAAGACTGCTGCCCCTGTGACCCGGCCCCAAAATGCGTCAGAAAATGAATGAATGAAGCAATTTTTTTTATGCTAGCAGTGTTTCTCTCCGCTATTCTCTTAGTAAATTGTTTAATTGCCAGGGTGATGGATCTGCAGGGCTGAATGACACTCAGGGCCGGCACGTCGATAGAGGCGACCTAGGCGGCTGCCTAGGGTGGCAGTATAGAGAGGGCGGCGTCCGCGCCAGCTCCCTTACCACCCGCGTCCTCAATTATGTCCGCGACACCTCCCTCACCACCTGCGTCCTCAGATATAGTCGCGCATAGGCGACAGAATAGAGAGGGCGGGGTCAGCGACACCTCCATCAGCACCCAGGTGTCCTCAGTTATATCCGCGCATAGGGCGGCAGAATAAAGAGTGCAGTGTACGCGACACCTCCCTCCCTCCCTCCCTCAGCACCCGCGTGTCCTCAGTTGTATCCGCGCATAGTGCGCCGGAAAAGAGGTCCGCGACACCTCACTTCATTTTCATAACTGGTCACTTTCGTTTTCACATTGGGGTTGAGGGCAGCGTGATTGTCCTCTGCCTAGAGCGGCAGTGCAGCTTGCTTCGGCCCTGATGACACTGGAGTCTGTGTTTTTTTTCTCTGTCAGGAATGGCACCAGCATGATCTCGCTCATCGTTCCTCCTAAAGATCAGATCTCCAGAGTGGCCAAGATGTTGGCGGATGAGTTTGGTACGGCGTCCAACATCAAGAGTCGAGTAAACCGACTCTCAGTGCTGGGAGCCATTACTTCAGTCCAGCAGAGACTCAAACTCTACAGCAAAGGTGAGTGTATGTGTGTGTGTGTGAATGTGTGTGTGTGTGTGTGTGTGTGTGCGTGCGTGCGTGTGTGTGTGTGTGTGTTTTGTGACATATCAGGACACAAATCTGTATAATGACATGGGTATGACACAGCTATTACAAAAAGGAGGTGAAATGTGAGGACATTGGTGACGTCCTCATTTCTCAAAATGCTTATAAATCACACAGAATGAGTTTAATCAGAGAGTAAAGCTGGACACTGACTCCTGTGATGGTTGGGTTTAGGGTGAGGGCAATAAAATATAAGTTTTGGACAGTATAAAATGAATGTAAACCTATGTACTGTCCCCACTTTTCACAAAAACAAACGTGTGTGTGTGTGTGCGTGCGTGCGTGCGTGCGTGGGTGTGTGTGTGTGTTTGTGTGTTTGCTTTCAATTGTTTACTTTTGACTGATTTTCAAGACTGACTCACAAACCCTCACTCATAATAGAACATACAATCGTTTTCTAGCTGTCAATTACTTCAGTCTGAGATTACAGGTGTTTTGAGCGACATAATAGTGATGAAAAAAATATTATATGATTATAATCATATTATAACATTATTTTATTCATTCATTTTCCTTCAGCTTAGTCTTTTGTTTATCGGGGGTCACCGCAGGGGAATAAACCGCCAACTATTCCAGCATATGTTTTACGCAGCGCATGCCCTTCCAGCCTCAACCCAGCAAACACCCATACACACTCAAAATCACACACACACACACACTCATACACTACGGCCAATTTAGTTTACCCGCATGTATTTGGCTTATGGGGGGAAACCAGAGCACCCGGTGGAAACCCACACCAACATGCGGAGAACATGCAATGTAGGGTTTTCTGCACACATGCAGAGATGCATCAGTTTGATTTTAATTAAGCTACATTGCTTTCACCAGCGTTTGTTCGGTTGCACATAGAGAATAGCGTCTTTATTCTGGGATTACCACTCTTAATAAATACACTTCGCATATAAAGTAAATCATATCTCAAAGCATTTACTGGGGCACGTGCCCCAGTAAATTGGGTCTAGCGATGCCCCTGGCGACAAGACTTTTGTCAGGTAGTGTATATAAAACACATGAGATAAAAACTGGTGAACATGGGCGCTTAGCATGAGATAAAAAAAAGATGGACTAATACATCCTTATTGTAAAAGTGTTATTGAGCATTTTGGGTTTTCTTCTCCTGCAGTGCCACATAATGGTCTGGTGGTTTACTGCGGGACTATAGTGACAGATGAAGGCAAAGAGAAGAAAGTCAATATCGACTTTGAGCCATTTAAACCCATCAACACCTCGCTGTACCTCTGTGACAACAAGTTCCACACCGAGGTAAAATCACAGTACAAATTCAGTGTGTTTTACGAAGATCAGTATATTTGGCAATGTTGCATTTAATCTTTCTTTTAGGCTCTGACAGCACTATTGACAGACGACAGTAAGTTTGGCTTCATTGTTATTGATGGTAGTGGAGCTCTGTTCGGGACTCTACAGGGAAACACCAAAGAAGTGCTTCACAAATTCACTGTGGACCTGCCCAAAAAACACGGTAATTATCATGAACAGACATTAAGCGCCCTATCATACACTCAGCGCAATGTGGCGCTAGGCGCGGCGCAATAGTGGTTTTGAGGCGTTGCGCTACGCTGTTTAAATAGCAAATGCATTAGCGCTCATTTGTGCGCCCATAGGCGTTCTGATCTAAAAAGGAAGGCGTTCTGAGGCGGACTGCTGGCGCGTTGCTATTTTGAGAAACTATAATAGATTTTTCATTAGACCAAAACTAACCCGGTCTAAACTCCAGCGCAGAGTTGCGCCTCGCCTACACACTGCTTAATACACACAAGAGAGCAATAAGCAAATATCTTTACATATGAAAAAATGTAAATATTAAGGATATATATAGGATATAATAAGAATAGATATAGGATATAAATATAAAGGATTAAAATATTACAAAACATATTATTTTCTAGCCTACATAAATATGAAAAATCACTGCTTTTATGTCTTCTTCATCTCAGGAGGCTTTTTCAGTTCATTCATAACAATTTGCTTTTGTATAATGTTATTATTATTAGCAGTATTATTTATTATATCCATATTTATATTTGTTTTATTAAAAACAAGCTTAGATTTGCCCACCTTTCTGGTTTTAGACCATATGGGGCACAGCATGTGTTTTAGGATATAACTCAGGTTTTTGAGCACATTTTGTTATTATTGTTCATTTATCCGTTTGCTGGAAATTAGAACTGAATTTAGAAATAGTTTTGAAACGAATATTTGCGCTTAACAAACACAATTAATTATTTATAGACTAATTGATGTCTGTGCGTAAAAGTTTCCCTATCCCAGAGTGAAAGTGAAAGTAGGTCCATTATCTCTCATTCTCACGCAGTAGATGCTGTTTAACAGTTTTCTGTTAAATAAACTGTTAACTGTTTGCTTGTGAAAGGCTCATTTTTTCCATTTAGACTTACTTTACGTCCTGTAAATAGTGAATGTGCTCTTGGCGTGACGCAGCTGGCTCTTAAAGGGAATGGGAGATGAGACTCTAATTGGTTTATTCTCAAAACACACCTATAACTCATTCAGAAAATAAACTCAACCCTTTTAGACCATGCACCACGGCGCAAAGCGGATTTTCCCGTCCTTAAATTAGCAAAAATGCGTTCTGACACGCCCTGAAAGCCCTGCGTTTTGCGCTCTGCGCATGGACCGTCAAAATAGAGCCCTAAGGGATAGTTAACCGAAAAATGAAAATTTTTACTTACATCCCCTTAGCTCAAATCTGTTGGAGTTTCTGCTAATGCTTCCAATTAAGCCGATGCTCTTAATGAAGTACACCTAAACCTGTAATGATTTCAGGAAGGGGAGGTCAGTCTGCTCTGCGTTTTGCTCGGTTAAGGATGGAGAAGAGGCATAATTATGTGAGGAAGGTTGCAGAGACAGCCGTGCAGCTCTACGTGTCCAATGATAAAGTCAATGTGGTTGGACTGGTGCTGGCCGGATCTGCCGACTTCAAGACGGAGCTCAGCCAGTCGGACATGTTCGACCCGGTAAGAAAACTGGTTTGTGTTGTCGGCTGTAAGTGAAGTTTTATAAACGCATGAGCAGATCCATTTGATCATTCATTCATTCATTTTCTTTTCGGCTTAGTCCCTTTTATTAATCTGGGGTCGCCACAGAGGAATGAACCGCCAACTTATCCAGCATATGTTTTATGCAGCAGATGCCCTTCCAGCTGCAACCCATCACTGGGAAACATCCATACACACTCATTCACACACATACACTACAGACAATTAAGCTGACCCAATTCACCTATAGCACTTGTCTTTGGACCCGGAGGAAACCCACGCAAACACAGGGAGAACATGCAAACTCCAAACAGAAACGACGACTGGGGCTCGAACCAGCGACCTTCTTGCTGTAAGGCGATTGTGCTACCCACTGCGCCACCGTGCTGCCCCATTGACAATTATTATTATTATATTTTGAGATTTTGATTTCCCCGCCCACCCAATTGATTGACAGGCACATATTAAAGTCTCCATAGTAGAATTGGGAAAACATCCTAGTTCAGTGGTACTGTGGTATTTTTGACTCACAAACCGGATCTCTGCTTGATCCGTGTCTGTCTCTGTCACTGACTGTGTTGTTTATCTGACATGACGCAGGAGAATGGAATGGTGGGCGGGGAGAGTCAGCTCATTTGCATTTAAAGGCACAGGCTACAATTGGTTCTGACCCCAAAATTGATCATTTTCAGCAGGGTAAAATAAGTATTCTAATAGGCATTATGAGCTGAAACTTTACACACATTCTGGAGACACCAAAGGCTCATCTCACATATATATTCCCTTGCTTTTGCGTTCATTAAAAACATGGAAAAATGCATGTGAATCAGAATTAAACGTTGGATTTTGTCGAGATGCAGAAGTAGTGTGCTTTCCTGACACTGCAGTTTTTCCTGTGATTGGCTGAAGTCTGTTTTCTCTGATTGGTTGCAGAGGTTGCAGGTGAAAGTGTTGAAGCTGGTGGACATCTGTTACGGGGGAGAAAATGGCTTCAATCAGGCCATCGAGCTCTCCGCTGAGATCCTGATCAATGTCAAGTTCATGCAGGAGAAGAAGTTAATAGGTAAACATTGATGATCATTATAATATTTAACAAGACAACATTTCAGTTCCTTATTTTGTGCAAATTTATAATTCAATTGCATATATCATTCTAAAATATGTGAGTTATATTGACTTGATATTGATTATGCACTAGAGATGGGCAATACCACAATTGTTTAATGCGATACGATACCGATACTTTTTGTAAAAAAAATTACGATACCGATATTGATACCACTTATTATTTAAAATGTTAATGGGATTTTTTAAAATAATGTTTATTTAAAAAATCATTACATTGGGTTGTAGAATTGTTTTTTTCTAATGTAAAGCACTTTGGTCAAGCTTGGTTGTAATAAGGTGCAAGGGCTGCACGATGTTGAAAAATCTGACATCGCGGTATTTTCAACCCAGGCTCACTCTGATAAAGTAGGCTGCATCCGAAACTGCATACTTCCATACTATATAGTACGCTTAAATCAGTATGCGAGCCGAGTAGTGTGTCTGAATTCATAGAATTCTAAAATCAGTATGCGAGAAGTACTTACTACTTCTGGCGAGATTCTGAAGTGCGCATGCCATGCATGCTGCGCTATCCCATTATGCCTCGCGAGAGAATTCATGAATGGGAGTGAAGCGATGCAACTGACGCAGGTAGGGCACGTGATCATGACAAAATGGCGGATGTAGTACGTACGAACTCCATTCATACTGTATAGAACGTACTTTTCTAATGACAGAGTAGTAGGTTTAAATTCTAATGCAGTACCTACTGAGTAGTAGGCGGTTTCGGACGCAGCCGTAGTTCCGTAGACATTTCTGGAAACAGTGAATTATGTAGCCGGAGGTACGCATGGCTGCATTTCATTTTTTAAGCGAACGCTACGGGGCTCAGGTAAGATAAAAACAGAATCCAAAAAAATAAAGTGAACGAGTTCATAACACGGTGAGAATGTGGTAAAAATCCAAAAACATGGTAAAACCATGGATGGCCTTTGTAAATCGTTGGTTGGGTTTAGGGAAGTAGGCGGGTCAATCGGTAAAATTGGTTGGGTTCAGGGAAGGAGGAGGGTGGGTCAGTCGATTGGCCGGTCACACAGTAAATCATTCGTTTAGTTAGCCAGACAGACGGTCATTCGACAGCGGCCTCTGGCGGATTTACGCAAGAACATCGCAGGCGCGAACGGCACTCGCAAGCAACATTTGAGATACGAAAAATCACACACAGCAGCCTCTTGCAGATTCGCGAAAACAAAAACTGTAAAAATACGTACCTCCCGGGACGTATTTCGCGGTCTCCAGATACATCCACGGGACAACGTTTTCAGAATGAGCCTGGGTTAGATGTTTTGTTTTGCTGTGGTATATATTGCGATATAAATCCAGATGATTTGAATGGCTCTATTTAGAAAGATTTCATTCATTTAGATCAACTAGGAAGATCAAGTCTTTTTATGCCGTGCATCTGAATAAAATATAATAAATTACAAGCGCAAATAAATACGACAGAACAAAAATAAAAATCTAACAGTAAATAAATATGGAAATTGAACTATCAAACGTAAAATAACATGGTCATCATTGTATAAATAGCTTTATTCAATAATATAAACTTAATATTTAATAATATCTTGATTTTTTTAAACTTTAATAAATAATCTAGTACTGTGATGTGACTATTGTGGGTACACACATTGTGATATCAATGCTCAAACGATATATTGTTCAGCACTATAAGGTGCTATATAAATAAAGGTGGATTGATTGATTGATTGATTGATTGATTGATTGATTGATTGATAGATTGATTTATTTATTTATTTATTTATTTATTTATTTATTTATTTTAATGGCTCTCTGTATGTCAGGCCGGTACTTTGACGAGATCAGTCAGGACACTGGGAAGTATTGTTACGGCGTTGAGGACACACTAAGGGCTCTGGAAATGGGAGCTGTTGAAATTCTCATCGTCTATGAAAACCAGGAGACAATGAGATACGTCTTAAAGCTACACGGAGCAGAGCTCAATGGCTCCAAGAACGGTAAACACACACACACATACTTGTATACATGGTTTACCGGGACACTCCATTGGCCTAGTGTATTTTATACAGTAAAGAACGCTTATGATATGGCCACAACCCCAAACTCAATCCTTCGTTGGTGAAATTTTAATGTTAAAAGACTTCATTATGTATGATTTGTAAGTGTTTTGAGTTAGAGAGACACGAGGTGTGAGGCTGTAAACCACCTAAATAGAGTACATTAAGTCATGTCATTAAACAAATTTGTGTCCCTGTTAACCACATATACCTGAACACACACACACACACACATTGTACATGCTTATAACACGGCTGTCTGGAATACTCAATGCTCATTGGTTAATCGAGACATTCCAAGGTATGTTATCCTGAAATAACAACCAATACATAACACAGAATCATCAGGAAACGTCCAATTCCCTTGACCATCAGTGAATATGTTCATCATCCCTATACTATTCACATTTATTTGTATATGCTTCTCTGTCACGCTGTGATTTTTGATTGTTTTGGACTGTTTGGCGCCATCTTGTGACTGAATAATATGTCGGTTTATGCAGCCATTTTCATTTCTGTCAGCTTTACGTTTTTTGGCTGTTTGGCGCCATCTTGTGACTGACTAATACACTGGTTAGTGCAACGCTATGCTCCATTAGCTTTTAGTTTCTCTTAGCATTGTAATGAAAGAAAAAATAAACTATTATGGCTCAGAACAATGTTTTGCGTGTCAGTTTTATGTTTAGTGGCAAGTAGCTGTGTAATAAGAGAGATAAAGCATGGTTGTTTTCTCAGAAATCTTGCTGAAAAGCTGGCTAGAAATGTATGAGTGTTATACACATTAATAAGTGTATCATTTAATAATTGATTCTTTAATACGTGTTTTTTTATTTTATTGACTTTTTTCTTTTATTATATACAAGTGTAATAATATTATTTTTACTATTATTATTATTATTTAATAACGTTTATTTTACTTATTTGTTTGTTTAACAGGTATATTTAATGAGTCTCGCTATGTACATCTTGAGCACCAAAACCTGTACATATCCCTGTATGTATTTTAATGTGATTTGAGTCTGTGTTTTTAGCAGACTTTTAAGTATTTAGTAGTTTTGTCATTTTATCATTTTTTATTTCATGTTTAGTTATTTAAGTGTGTTAAATGTATGTTAAATGTTGACCTAAATGGCGACGCCTGATTAATAAAGCTAATAAAGGGACAAAGCTGAAGGAAAATGAATGAATTTTTGCATTTTTTTCCATAATGTTTATTCATTCATTTATTTTCCTTCAGCTTTGTCCCTTTATTAGCTTTATTAATCAGGCGTCGCCACAGTGGAATGAACCACCAATTTGTCCAACATGTTTTACACAGCGGATGCCCTTCCAGCAGCAACCCAGTACTGGGAAACACCCATACACTCTCGCATTCACACACATACACTACCAATTATTAATTTATTCGACTGACCTACAGCGCATGTCTTTGGACTGTGGGGGAAACCCACACCAACATGTGGAGAACATGCAAACTCCACACAGAAATGCCGACTGGGCCAGCCGGGACTCAAACCAGCGAAATTCTTGCTGTGATGCATCAGTGCTAACCACTGAGCCACCGTGCCACCCCCTCATAAGGTTTATTTCAAATAATATTTTCAAGTTTTTAGTTTAGTTATTAGATTATACTGGGTGTGTGTTCAGTGTAAACAGGAGTTTCTGAAGGAGTGTAAACACACGTACTGACTTACATTCAGTGTTACTGCAGGTTGTTGCTTCAGCAGATTGATCAGATTAGATTGTGTGCGTGTAGAGCGGAAGTGTTTCCTGCGTAACGTCTCCTCATTGTTGTGCGTTTCAGATGAGAAAGTCATTTATTTGAGTCCAGAACAGGAGAGGGACAAATCGCACTTCATAGACAAAGAGGTGTGTTGTATGTGTGTGTGTGAAAGGTTGTCTGTCTACAAAAAAAAGACACCTATCTGTTAATACACGTTCATTAAGTCATGAAAACTGCCAATGTTATATATATAGTGTATTGATATTTTTTTAAAAGCTCTCCCTGCTGAAAAATCCAGCTTAAACCAGCCTAGGCTGTTTTAAGCTGTTTTTTTCAGTAGGGCTATTTTAAAATTCTCTATTTTCATTTTAATTTTAGTCAATTTTTTTGTGATTGTGCTATTTATATCATGTGTATTTATTACTTAATGTGTTTTACTTCATTTCAGTGTTAGTAGTTTAGCTTATCTCAGATAGTTGCTAACACATTTACAAATCTCCTGTAGTTTTTTTAGTAAGTACTTAAGTTTGTGTTATTTAGCCACCTTTTTGCATGTATTTTTATGTTTGTTTATTCATTTTAAGGCAGTTTGATTGTGTGTGTTTTTAAACGTACTATATAATTAAAGTTGAGATGAGCTGAATTAAGTCTAATGCACATATATTGCTATCAGTGACTCACAAATCTTTTTGTCATTCATTCATTCATCTAAAATACTTTTTTTATATTAAAGCCAGTGCTTTATTAAATTAGCAATGCTTTTACATATAAAATGTGTGTGTGTGTGTGTGTGTGTGTGTGTGTGTGTGTGTGTGTGTGTGTGTGTGTTTTGGTGTTTGAATCAAATTTGCAGTGAATTATTTGCATAAAAAACATTTTAAGTGCAATTAAAGTTTAAAAATGTTATGATTATAAGAGAAAAATGTATAAATATGGGTATATACACAGTATATACACTCATCAGCCGCTTTATTAGGTACACCTTATTAAGTTGGACCCCCTTTTGCCGTAAGAACTGACTTGATCCTTCGTGGCACAGATTCAACAAGGCACTGGAAATATTCCTCTGAGATTTTGCTTCATGTTGACTTGATAGCATCATGCTGCAGATTTGTCGGCTGCACATCTATGATGCCAAGATCCCATTTCACCACATCCCCAAGGTGCTAAATTGGATTGAGATCTGGTGATTGTGGAGGCCATTAGAGTACAGTGAAGTCATTGTCATGTTCAAGAAACCAGTCTGAGATGATTCACGCTTTATGACATGATGGTGTGTTATCCTGCTGTAGCAGTAGCCATCAGAAGAGGGGTACACTGTGCTCATAAAGGGATGGACATGGTCAGTAACAATACTCAGGTAGGCTGTGGCGTTAACATGATGCTAAATTGGTACTTATAAGCTCAAAGTGTGCCAAGAAAATCTCCCCCACACCATTACACCACCACCACCAGCCTGAATCATTGATACAAGGCAGGATGGATCCATGCTTTCATGTTGTTGATGCCAAATTCTGACTCGACCATCCGAATGTCACAGCAGAAATGGAGACTCATCAGACCAGGCGACGTTTCTCCAATCTTCTATTGTCCAGTTTTGGTGAGTCTGTGTGAATTGTAGCCACAGTTTCCTGTTCTTAGCTGACAGGAGCGGCACCCGGTGTGGTCTTCTGCTGCTGTAGCCCATCCGCCTCAAGGTTGGACGTGTTGTGTGTTCAGAGATGCTCTTCTGCAGAGCTCGGTTGTAACGAGCGCTTATTTGAGTTACTGTTGCCTTTCTATCAGCTGGAACCAGTCTGGCCATTCTCCTCTGACCTCTGGCATCAACAAGGCATTTGTGCCCACAGAACTGCCGCTCACTGGATATTTTCTCCTTTTCGGAGTGTATATACCTTCATACACTCACCGGCCACTTTATTAGGTACACCTGTCCAACTGCACGTTATCATGCGAATTTCTGAACAGCCAATCACATGGCAGCAACTCAAATTTCAATACCCATATTAGCTATGTATACAATATATAGCCATAATTTTACATTTTATAATATGTTTATGTAATTATTGTTTTCACTGATCATCAGGAGTGTGTTTTGTTGGGTTGTTTTCAGACGGGTCATGAACACGAGCTCATGGAGTGTATGCCGCTGCTCGAATGGTTCGCCAGTAACTATAAGAAGTTTGGAGCGACTCTGGAGATCGTGACGGACAAAAGTCAAGAGGGCTCGCAGTTCGTCAAGGGTTTCGGAGGAATCGGAGGTGAGCCATCCTTGAATGTGTGATAAATAAAAGATGATGTTTGTCATGTCAAATCAAGCCATATAGAACTAGTGTTAGGGGTAATGCATTACAAGAAACGCGAGTTATGTAGTTATATTACTTATCTAAGTGACGAGTAAAGTATTGCATTAGTTTAAAAAAAGTAATAATATTTAATTTGGCATCGGTTCACCACTGTAAAACCATATACAGGAACACTGGAGCGGCTTAAAGCCTGGAAGATTTGATGGATCGCTCGTATTTCAGCTCATAAACAGACCAGCTGATCTTCACGGCTTTAAAGGGTCACGAAACTCCAAAACACATTTTTTGAGCTGTTGACAGTCGTATATGTGTCCCACACTGCTAAAAACACTATTAGGACACCTATATTTCACTAAAAAGTGTAAATTGGTTGTTTTTGCGTTATTTCAAGCAAATTCGTACTTCCGGTTTGAAATGAATTTTTGAAGCTGCGTCACGGTCATGAGATAATAGCGTGTATTCCAGCGTGCAGACTGGACGTCTGTGCCAGAGTGTGTCTTATTACGTCTTACAGTGTGCTGCATTAATGCATGAGTAAGGCTTGGTTCAAACCAATCAGCGCGCTCTATTGTGCAACTTCATTAATATTCATTAGTCACAGTGTTTAGACGACAGAGACGCCACGTTGGCAAAACAAGCGTGAAGTGTTGCTTTTATAGTTTGCTGCAGTTAAGTTTTGTTTTCATTTTCTCTCTGTGAGAGCGCAGCTGGAGTCACGTGTGGATTAACAGTGTACGCGACGCTCAACAACAATAACTTACGTGTCTAAGGACTTACAACCATTTTGAGCTGCTCAAATGTTTACCTGAGAGCTGTTCTCATCTGCAAACGCTGAGATCCGGATTCGCTTTAGTCTCCTCTTAATAAAGACGCGGCTCTAGTTGCTGGTGATTGTCCTGTCTCTACAGATTTGGTAAGTGAGCGACCAGTGCTCTTTGTTTATTCAGTTTGTTCGTATCGAACTAAGTTAGCTATAGCACTGAGTGTAAACATGTTAGCACCACAACCAAACTTTAACCTCGTGTAGGGTTTTCACCGCATTTAGTGACCAGAATAACACACGCGGCTTTCTGACACTACCTGCCGTGTGTATCTAGGTTTCCGGGAAATGCTGAGGGTTTTTTTCTCTCATTCGCTGTGCGGTATCAAACATTGCATGAAAAATACACGCTTAGAGCAGATCCTCGAATCAAATATCTCGTTTGTCGCGAGGGGCATGAATGAATTCCCTGAATGAAAGAGCCAAACTGCAGTTAAAGTCCACCATTTAATAATTTGGCAAATAATTCGACTACAGATGTCCATGTAGGTTAAACACCATCACTTTCTCCTGTGTGTGTGTGTGTGTGTGTGTGTATTTTGACTCTGAAATTCGCGCGTGCCCAAATAGACACTCCCACACCCTCCCACTTTAGTTCCTCCAACACTCCCCCTAAACAGAGCTGGACACGCCCACTTTTCTGACTTTTTCCTAAGTAGAGGTGTGAAAACACCCTGCTGAAACGAGGGGGTTTCATGGCCCTTTAAACAGCTTCAGTGTCCCTGTATGTGTGTCTGCACTCAGTAAACAGCGGTGCGTCTGGTTAACTGATGACCTTTGCATTTCTGTTGAGCACATGAGCACAATGGCAAATCAGCTGCTCAAATGTAAGCGGGAAATGGACATTTTAAAATTTCAGTACTGATTGATACCGAAATTCAGTATCGTGACAACGCTACACGCAGCTAGTTACTTTTGGGGAAGTAACTCAATATCGTAATGGATTACTATCAAAAGTAACTTTCCCCAACACTGTATAGACCATTTTGAGGGATGTAAATAATAACAATGGTCCTATTGTATTGTCTGTATTACATTTTTAATTTACACAGCTTCCGAGAATCCAAAAAGGTCCACATATTGATAACCAATGCTATGATTGCTGTAATTATGTTAAGATATAACTGACTTGCTATGAAATAGTTTAACAACAAACAGGAAGTGTTCATGGGCCAATGACATTACTCTATTGAACAATATTGTTTCTTTTTGACCACATCGTGTTGCTCTCTCAGGAATTCTGCGGTACCGAGTGGATTTCCACGGTTTGGAATATCAGGAAGAGGAGGAGCTGTTTGATCTGGGTGACTACTAGGTGAGCTGAAGAGAAACAAGGGAAGATTTGAGATATCTGGAAAAGGAAAAGTCTATTTTTTTTTCTACAGACAGTGCGTGCTCAATACACAAACATGATTGCAGAAGAGAAGTGTGCCATCTGTCTATTAAGAGCTCTTCCTGAATAATGAACAGTCTTGAAGCGTTCTGATTGGACAGGACACATTTTGTTTATCCTCTTTGAATTAACGTCACAGGACAAACCTGTTTTGGACTAATTTTTAACTATTTAAGTTATTTTTAATCACATTTTTCCACTATAAATCAAATTCTAGTCTTCCTTTGAATTTTTGTTGCTGTATTATAGGACAGTGGCAATTTTTTTACATGGGTTTCTGTGAGCAATGGGGAGAAACAGAATAAATTTGAAAATACAGAAACCTGTGTGTGTGTGTGTGTGTGTTTGTGTGTGTGTGTGTGTTTACGTGCTCTGTAACTGTGGCGTTTACACAATTGGTACTAATGGGTCCAAAGTGTGCCAAGAAAATATCCCTCACACATTACACCACCAGCACCAGCCTGAACCATTGATACAAGGCAGGATGGATCCATGCTTTCATGTTGCTGATGCCAAATTCTGACCCGACCATCTGAATGTGGCAGCAGAATTTAAGACTCATCAGAGCAGGCAACGTTTCTCCAATCTTCTATTGTTCAGTTTTGGTGAGCCTGTTTAATTAATTAAATTAACAAATTGTTGATACAGAAAGACTGTAAGAGCTACAGAGATCTACAGAGAGTGGGTTCTTTTTTCCTCTATTGATTGGGAAAGACCCAACAACAGAGGAGCCAATCACAGGAGAGCATGCTTCATCACAAACGCCCTCTTATCTTCGCTTGACCAATCAGAGTCTGCATTTTTAAGTAGCTGAAAATATTGCCGTCTCTCTCTCTCTCACACACACACACACACACAGACACACACACCAAACACTAAACACTCCCTGCAGAGCCACGTGACCACCGGGCAGCTCAGACCACGAAGCAAGATACAACTACAAACACTTCACCGGAAACATTTGAGCGTGTTTTTGCAAAGTAAGAGTTGGGTAATATTGGTGGCAGCCAAAATGAAATATATATTTGTGGATGTGTGAATAATATAAATTCTCACTTTACATGTTTAATTCGTTTTTTTATAGGAACTATGAGAAAATAAAACAATATAATAAAATCTATCTATTATATATTTGAATTACAGTTAAACTACATTTTGTCTATAAAAAACATACCATAATATGTTTTTGTAACTTTTTTTCAGCCAAAAGCCTAGCAAGTAAAAAGACTATAATACAATTACTACTGCTACTACCAATTATTCTTAATATTATCTTATGTATGCGTGTGTGTCTTTTTATTTTAAAAATAATCATAACAATGTATTTTATTATTATTTACATTTTAATTATGACACTAAACATTTAAACCATATCTAATCCTATTGTTTTAATTTTTCTGCTTCAGCACGAACAGCTAACTTTTTATTGATAAAAGTTATGAATAAAATATTAAATTATAAATTAACTAAAATTCTACATTTTATTAATAATATCCTAATAATGGATGGGCAATGTATATAATTTGTGACATAGCTAGTCGTGTGTGTATGTGCGCGTGTGAAATAGGACTCTTATTATCGTATAATACCAGTAAGGCTCCATCTTTTGTAGCTGTGTGTTGTTTCGCTCTTCTCTCGGGTTCACCGACGGGTTTCCATTTTCACGGTTGGATTCAGCTAGAACAACAATAATATGGATCCGGACAAGGAGGACAAAACCCTGGAGCTGATGGTACGTGCCGCCCGGTATCCACGACACCTCCTGCTCTGTATGTTTATATTTATGTTTATATGTATCGGTATAACGTACATCGTAAACGCGGGCTAAAGAGGCAGGAGGACAAAAACACAGCAGCGGCCCGAATACTATAGCGTTCAACATTCTTCATGTTAAATTATAATGTTTGGTTTGAGTTTTGTCAGTAAACCGAGTTTCCGCTTATTATTTGATGAGCAAGTCGCGTATTAATGTCGAGGAATCGTTTGCGCGTCGCTGGAGCGGTCATTGCGGCACCGCTGCGCCATTTACGTTACATCTTCTATATATTACACTTATTAACGACTATGTGATGAAAACATTGTGTATATGAGCTTCATACATCACACAGCCAACATTCACTTATATAATTGATCAAATACTCCACCTTCAGCCTATTTGACCGTCATATATCACAATTGATATCCGCTTCATATATTAAACACTTAGCGACGATATCATATGGTATATCGACGATACGTCGATATACCGTATACCACCTACAGATTATTTGAGCGTCAAATATCCAGTTTGTATATAATATACACATATAACAGTGTATATGAGTGTTTTATATCATTAAACCTACTTTCCGCTTATTATTTGATGAGTAAATCGCTTATTAATGTTGAGGAATCGTTTGCGGGTCGCTGGAGCGTTCATTGCGATAGAGGTAAAGATGGTTTTATATACGCACATTTTGACTTTCTCCCTAATAATATAATTTCATAAAAGTATTATTTGCAAACTCTAAATAGAGAAATCCGATTAGCAGCCATTGACTATCAAAGTACAACATTGTTCACAGTCAAATAAACAGTGTTAATGTTGTTTTCAATGTATACTTGCATGCTAATTCCGATCGAATATTCAAAGTAACATGGTAAACAATATAGAGACTTCTAAATGAACGAATGTGCGAATATAAAACCAACTTTACCTCTGTCATTGCGGCACTGCTGCGCCATTTACGTTACATCCTCTCTATATTACACATATTAACGACTATGTGATGAAAACATTGTGTATATGAGCTTCATACATCACACAGCCTACATCACTTTATATAATTAATCAAATACACCATCTGCAGCCTATATGAGCATCATATATCACAATTGATATCCGCTTTATATATCAAACACTTAGCGACGATATGAAATGGTATATTGACGATGCTTATATACCATTTGTATGTATGTATGTATGTATGTATGTATATATATATTCATATAGTTAATCAAATACACCACCTACAAAATATACTTACTACAGTTTATGCGAATGTGATCTTATTAGAGAAGTTCTTACTGTATTATGAGGAAAACTGTAATATGTAATAATGCAACGCCATTGTCACTGCTATTTAGAATGCTATTATAAAATATGTTACGTGTTTTAATCTGTGTGAGAAGACATAATTTCGCAGAAAAACTTATTTGAAATTCTCGACAGAAGCTATGAAGTAAATTTGCTGTAAATTCATTATGTGGTATTAGCATGTGCTTTCAGGTTTAACATTAGAGACATTTACTCCAAAAGGCCGCAGTTCACTGAAAAGCTACGCAAACAGCTGCCAATATCGCAGAGCAGAGTGATTATTTGCGCTTTGACTATCATATGCGATATTTTGCGTAGCTCGTCAGAGAATATTGGCTCTGTGAAGGAAAGCCCCACCCACCAGACATGATTTCTCCCTCATTAGCATGGGATGTTAGTCTTGTTTATGAATCTGCCACTATGCTGACACAAAGGCATTGTAGCTCCGCCCTCTTTTGAAGAGAGCACAATCTCATTTGAATTTAAATCGACAGTCACCAAAAAGGCACGATTAGGATCAAAGCCTAAAAGGGTCAGTTTCAGAGAGTTATAAAACATTATTTGTTTGGTTTTTCTGCCTGATCTCACTAGTAAACAAGTATTTTACGTTTTATCAGTTTTATCAGGCGAATTCGTACGAGTTCAGTCGTGCGAAAATGTACGATTTGACAAAGAAGGCATGGCACCTAACCTCACCCCTACCCGAACCGTCATTGGGTGATAAGCAAATCGTACTAAATTGTATGAATTAGATTTATACGAATTAGCCACTAAATTAAAAAGTTACGAATTGCTGTGAGATTGCGTTGGGTATTTTGAGCTGAAACTTCACATACAGACTCTACGGACATCACAGACCTGTTTTACATCTTGTAAAAAGGCGCATAATAGGTCTCCTTTAAATAATTTGTTCTTTTTTTAAATAATTAATGTTTGTTTCATATGATGCTCACGGTTCATACGAGCTTCATAAATATTATATTACACACCGTCTATATGTAACTCTTTTATTAAACCTCCTGTACACAGATCATATTTTTAAGTCTATTTTTGAGCTTCTTTTTTTTATACAGTTACAGTTTGATCACATCTGGAGGTCAAATAAAATTATTTAAATTCTGCAAACAATGTGAGCTTCATGTTGCTTACATTTAAAATTTTGCCTCATATGCAATTATATCTTGGAGACAGTGTTGGGAAAATCATTATACAAATTTAATCAACTTGATTTTGCAGCTCATTTGCTGAATCTAACTATGCACACTTTGTTTGATCCTATTATATGCCCTTTAAAAGTTATGTAAACAGCAAAATATGTTTTAAATGTCCCAGATATCATCTCATATCACACACAGTCTTTGTGTTCATTATTCTCTATGTGCTTAGTTATAGATGTGTATTTTATATATATATATATATATATATATATATATATGTGCGTCATGTTCTTTCTACGTTTGATATTGATATAGTGCAAGTTGCATAAAAAAAGTTATGTTTTGAGTTACATTTATTAAATGAATATCATTTCATGTCTGTCAGTCAATTGAAGGATTATGCTAATCTTCATCCGGGGTCATGTTAGATCGTTTTTAACAACACCCTCTCTGTTAAAACAAAACCGCAGAAACAACAGCGCCTGGTTTGTTTTGAATGGGATTTGGAGGTTAGTCTTTTATTATAGGTTATGTATACAGATCTCTGGATGGTTGTTATTAGTCTGATGTCTAGTGAGATATGAGATTTTCTCTCTTCAGTGAGTTTAAATAACTCAGTGGAGTTCAGTGATTTCAATATCTAGTGTTATCAAGTTAATGCAGCGCTTTATTAAAGGATAGTTCACCCAAAAATTTTATTTCTCTCATCCTTTACTTGTTTAAACCCCACTTGACTGACAGACTTCTGGAGTTCTTCGTACCTCATTTAAATGATCTAAGATGATTTGGCTGATCCTGGATCTTTTAATCTTGATAACTGATCTCTAATTTGGTTCTTCAAACAAGTTCGCAAATCAGATTAGAATGTCTGAATAAACTGATCTGTGATCGCTGCGTGTGTTGTGGACAGATCTATCGATCCTCGAGATCATGATCAGCAATGCAACGATTGGCTGACGGCACAGCAGCGTAATGACATCATCTGATTAATATTCAATTATCCATGTGAGCAAAATTACATCAAATTAGCAGTGAACGGTTTGTTAAATTTGACACGCAATAACCTTCCACATTTGTTGTGAGCTGCAG